AAAGCGTAACGTAACCGATAGTCGAGGAACAATTCCTGAAATTAAACGTAATACAACCTGTTTCAACTGAACTGCGGTGAAAGCGGTCATATTTCCAAACAATGTGTTCATAAAGATAAGGGAGTCAAGTGTTTTAAATGTAAAGAATTTGGGCACCGAAGTTTCGAATGCTCAAATACGAATTCGAAACCAGAAGTATCAACCGTGAATATTGATGTAGTCTCGAAGTTGACCAAAGAAGTAAAAATTAATGATGTATATGTAACCGCGTTAATAGACACAGGAAGTCAAACTACTTTGTTATGTAGATCGACTTTTGATAAACTGAATATCGAAGGCCTCGTGCCCGTAAGTTCAACGCTGAGTGGGTTTCGGTAAATGTCAAGTAAAACCTCTAGGTTTCTTTAAAGGTAATATTAAAATTAATGATTTCCAGTGTACTGCAGATATTTGTGTTGTAGACAACAATGTAATGACACATGAAGCCATTTTAGGCTTAAACGTAATATTAAAAGGTGAAATATTAATAAATGAAAATGGGGGTTCCATAAAAAGTAAGTCACAGAGTGTAGAGAAAGTAAATATTGTATTTGTTTTACCTGTTGACCTAGCTAGTAACGAAGAAGAAATAAATATTGCACCTAGTGTTCCAAACTACTTTAAAGAGACTGTTCAACAGTTAGTTTCGAACTATATGCCACGTAAGACCAAATCTACGGACATAACAGTTAAAAATTTTCGTTAAAAATAACGAACCAGTATCGCATCAACCGCGTAGATTACCGTTTGCGGAAAAGAAAATTGTTGAAACCCAAATATCCGAATGGCTAAAGTCAGGAATTATAGAACAGAGTTCTTCGGAATATTCCAGCCCATTGGTCATCGTTAAAAAGAAAGACGGGACACCAAGAGTTTGCGTTGATTATCGTCGTTTTAAACAAAGTTGTCGTAAAGGATAGATTTCCCCTTCCCCTGATTGAGGATATCCTAGACCGCCTTCAAGAAGCACGTGTTTTCAGCACTATTGATCTCAAAAATGGCTTTTTTCACGTGGACGTCGAAAAGGAAAGTCGGAAGTACACATCATTTGTTACGCATGAAGGACAGTACCAGTTTTTGAAAGTGCCGTTTGGACTCTGTAACTCACCAGCTGTATTCCAGAGATTCATAAATACCATTTTCCGACCGTTAGTTAACGATGGCATCGTTTTGCCGTACATGGACGATATCATCATTTTGTCCGCCTCATACGAAGAGGGAATCGAGAGGCTGAGTCAAGTTTTAAATCTAGCGAGTGAATACGGATTGGAAATAAATTTTAAAAAATCGCAATTCTTAAAGAAACGAATTGACTTTTTAGGTCATGTCATAGAAGAGGGTAAAATTTTCCCATCCACCTTGAAGACGCAAGCTGTTATAAATTTCCCTGAACCATCTAATTTAAAACAGATCCAAAGTTTTCTTGGGCTGACAGGGTATTTCAGAAAATTTATTAATAAATACTCTATAATTGCCAAGCCACTTAGCGACCTGCTAAAAAAAGGGTAATAAGTTCGAATTCGGTGAAGAACAAAAGATCGCATTCAATCGTTTGAAATCAGCGCTAGCTGAGAAGCCTGTACTTGCAATTTATAACCCTAATTATGAAACCGAACTACACACAGACGCCAGTATAGAAGGATATGGGGCGATTCTAATGCAGAAACCCCCAGGTGATAGCAGTTTTCACCCCACTTATTTTATGAGTAGGAAAACCTCTGATGCAGAGAAAAAAAGTACTCAAGTTACGAGTTGGAGGTCCTCGCGATCGTAGAAGCACTGAAAAGGTTCCGTGTTTACCTTTTGGGAATTTCATTTAAGATAGTGACGGACTGTTCAGCATTTCAACGGACGATGGAAAAAAGAGATTTAGCGACGCGTGTTGCTCGTTGGGCTTCTGTTGTTACAAGAATTCGATTATGTTATAGAGCATCGTAAAGGTGTTAGAATGCCACATGTAGATGCTCTAAGTAGAGCTCCTGTAAACGTCTTATGCATTTCTATTGAAAATATCTTACCTAAATTAAAACTTGCTCAAGAAAATGACACTGAAATAAAAACCATTAAGGAATTATTGAAAACCTCAAGTTATGAAAATTATTGTAATAGAAATGGCGTACTATACAAGTTTATTGACGGTAAAGAATTGATAGTCGTACCGGAAAGTATGCAGACTGAAATCATAAAAGATGCTCACGAGAAAGGGCACACCGGTATCAAACATACAGAGAAACACCTGGATGATACTACTATTTCATTCCCAAACTTTCGGCAGAAGATAGAAAACGTTATCGCGAATTGCGTTCATTGCATCTTAATAAATCGTAAAGCTGGGAAAAAGGAAGGATTTTTACATCCGCGATTCAAGGAGGACATTCCGTTGCATACCTATCATATATCGATCACTTGGGTCCTCTGGAAAGTACCCATAAAAAACTACAAGCACATATTAGTAGTGGTCGACGCCTTTACTAAATTTACTTGGATTTATCCAACAAAATCTACGACCTCAGCCGAGGTGATAGCGAAGTTAGAGAATCAGAAGGCCATTTTTGGAAGCCCTTGTCAGATCATTTCTGATAGAGGAACGGCTTTTCACATCCAGTGAGTTTTCTGACTACTGTGCTAAAGAAGATATTAAACATCATCTAATCACCACAGGCCTGCCGAGAGCAAATGGACAAGTCGAACGAATCAACCAAGTCATTATATCAGTATTAGCGAAACTGTCCTTAAAAAAACCAACCGAATGGTATAAACACACACACGAAGTTCAGAGGACGCTTAACTCAACATATCAAAGAAGCATTAACACCACTCCGTTCGAATTACTCTTCGGTACTAAAATGAACAGTAAGGGCACCGATCAGCTCAAAGAACTGATAGAAAGTGAGTTTCAATCTCAATTCGAGTCTCAAAGAGAAGAATTACGAAAGCAAGCCAAGAGGCAAATTTTCCAAGTCCAACAGGAAAATAAAAAGACATATAATGCCAAAAGAAGACAAGCACAGCCGTACAAAGTTGGTGACTTAGTGGCAATCAAAAGGACTCAATTCGGACCACACTTAAAATTAAGAGCGAAGTATTTCGGACCTTATAAGATCAGAAAGTTAAGGGTGGCAACACCTATGACGTAATAAAGGAAGGATGCCATGAGGGTCCCATATCCACCACCACATGTGCCGAATTCCTCAAGAAATGGACGGCACTTTAAAATTTTTCACGAACACTTATTTCTGTTATTGTATATTCTTGCTTGTTGCTTGTTTTTTTTTTTTTTTTTTTTTTTTTTTTGCAGTGTCCTGGAGGGCCAGTCCACCCTCGGATGGCCGAAAATGTAGTGCCGATCGCTTGGAGCTGTGATGAAAAACCAGATGCCGTGACGTCATTTCTCTCTCTACGAGCTGCGAAGGCGCCAAGCAAAAATTAGGGGAATTACCGTTTTGAGATGATAGACGATTGACGTGGGAGCAGAGACGCTGCTTCTGTTCAAAAAGAACTTTGACGAATCATTACTTGTTTAATTCTCTTAAATGTTAAAATTTATGTAGTAATCGTTTGTCTAATTAAAATGTCTTTCGTTAATTAATTTGTTCATCTAATTCAGAAGTCAAACAACAAAAATCAGCGTTATACCTACAAAATTTTCACAGAACGCTGATTAATGCTGATTTTTGTTAACGCTGATTTTTGTTGTTTGACTTCTGAATTAGTATTTATTCGGCGTGTTATTGTGTCTTAATTAATTTGTTCATCGTTTAAAATCCCCACATATATAAGACTATAAAAGAGAAAATCTTAAAGGAAAAATTTTATTGTTCATGTAGTTAAAAAATGAAACCTTTTATATAGTCATTTTTTGACAGTATTTTCAAATTCAGCACAACTTCATCATCAATTTAAATAATAAAACAATATGAAGTTAAAATTCCCATGTTGCTATAGTTTACTTCAGAGAGTTAAGTTTAAGCTATAAATTACTAAAATTCAATTTTACTGAAAAATTAATATAAAATCTGAATTCTTAAGGAATATAACATATATGATCTTCACATAAGCCTATTAAATATTTACATAAATCTTTACACAAAACTAAATATATAACATCAGTATGATGCTAACAATATGGAAAATGCTCCAAAAACTCATAGTTAAGATTAAACTCCTAATTTTAAACTATGGCACATGCCTTTAAATTTTTTAAACTTTTTGGTCTATTGAATTACAGAAACTAAGATTTCAAATGTTTTTATCTTATTTGATGAAGTTTTTTAATGATCAAGTAAAGCATATTCTTAAGAATTCCCCCTCCCCATGATGTGATTTATGATAGGTAATAGCGTGTTTGAGAAGCTTACTTGAATGTATCTCCTCTTGCATGTTCTTGAAGGAGGGCTAGACTTCTTTCTTTTTTTAATTAATTTATAGAATTTGATTCTCTTTGTTTTTTCCCACACAGTGCAGAATTTACGTATAAGCTACAGGAACTATATATAGCTTAGGGCCCCCAAAAAATTTAAATATGGTATAAATATAGTATTAAAATATAGTATAACAGACTTATAAAGACTTATATCTCAAATAGCTTAGGGCCTTATCAAGTCTAAATCTGGCTCTGTTCTCACATAAATACCACATGTGCACTTCAGCTGACTTAATCTTTTGAAAAGAGCAACAACACTAGTTCAAACTATAAAACAACAGTTGGTGGTAACAAGATGAAATGAATACTACTACTACAAATTATGGTAATAATAATACATTGTAATAATAATACTTATAAATATTTTCTATTGTGAAATTTTTGTCTCAATATCTGAAATATACCTTACAGTAAAGCACATCTTATCAACCAAAAAGTACAGTAATAAAACATTCTACCTAGAAATGAAAAATCAATTATTTATAAAAATTTAATACAACTTCATAACAAAGTAATATAAACATTTAATAATCATTACCCATATTTCCCAAACACAGAGATAGTAGCACCTCCAACAGGAACACTATTATTTGGCCCATGTATATTCCATACTGTAAATGCAAGTAAGGCATTTCTAGGAAGCTCAGAAATTTTAACTGGCAATGTTAACCATTCATTCCAACTACAAATAAAAACAAAATTTTACAAACTCATAAAATATTTATTAAGAACTGGTATCCATATATTTAAAAAAAAATTGGTACTAGTTAAAGCAGCCACTGCATTTTGGCAAAAAGATAAAAATTTAATGACCTGATCTGTAACATACAAATTCTAAAAGCAGTAAAAAGCTTATGCAGTGGTACCTTTAAGGGGTATCAGAAACCCCTATACCGACAATGTTAAATTGGAAATTTTCGATGTACCTTTTCTCAAAATCTGCTGTAGATACAAGTTTGAAATTTTTTCTGTAATTAAAGTATTCCTAACTGATTATACTGAAATGAGCTTTTGAAACATTTTGAATTTTAGAGTAAATTGCAGGATATTTTGTTAGGCATAATAAAATTTAGCACTTTTCGCACACAAAAAAATTTTTAATTTTTTTTTTTCTAAGTTTATTACAAAAAGCTAATTTCAGTAAATATTAGGGAACCTAATAAATAAGCCATAAAAAGTTTAGATACCTGTGAGCAGTAGTTCCTAAGAAAAGGTACATCGAGTATAAAAAAATCACGTTTGGAGAAAAATGCGTTTTTATGTAAAAATCCTCATTGATCAAAGCAGTTGATGACAAATTAAAACTAGATTTTTTTACAGTTCTAACTTTCATAGAGTTTAAGAATGGTATTTTTAGAAAGATAAAAGTGTAGAGAATTTGAAAATGCAAAAATCCGAAATTTTTGAAGATTTTGGGGTTCCAACACCCCTTAACAAGGAAGTACCATACATTAATATTTCCTTAACCTAATAATGAAATAAAATTGACACACATATATTAACATATGTTACACAGAGTGATCTAAAATCGTGCACATCAATTGGCAGCATTTCAATGGATGACACTCCTTATACTATTAGAAGTAATATATCACTTAAAGCTTCAGTAGCTGTTTATATTGCAGATTTAAAAAAAGTTTGTTTGATGAAAGATGTAGATGAGTTTTTTGAAGCAGAATGATGTTTTATGATTGAGCATTACTTAATAATGCATAAACTTGATTACAATGCCATCTTTTTCATGCTCGTTCTTAATACTGCCATTTTATTCCTTTGTTCATTTTGTTTGAATTCAGAAGTGATGAGTGGCAACTTCATTTCTTATGGTGAATGCATCCAATTTACTGAAATAAAGTTACCAACAGAAAAATCATTGACTAGTTTAAGTTCATGAATATTTAAGAAGTCTCCTTAAATGCGTCAACAACATTTCCATACGAATGCATTGCGAAGTAATGCTCAATCATAAAAATTTACTCAGGAAATCTCAACCTCATCTTGCATCAAACAAATACTTTTAAATCTGACAGTACGAACTGCAGTTTCACATGACACATTACTTGTAACAGTACAGGGATATCATCCATTGAAACAATTTACCATTAATATCCATTTTGGAATTTTGAATTTTTTTAAAGTTTACTACGTCCGACTATTGGATCACCCTATACAATAGCTGTGGAATATAAAATACACATATTGGTCACTTTTTATATGGTTTACTAGATAACAGCTTTCAAATATACCTTTCCTTAACTTAACCTTAATCTATTCACCACAGGGGAACATTTGCAACATTCATAAAATCTCAATATATAGCACTACACCTTTCTGTGCAGTTACACTAAATAGTAGAACACTGAAATGCTATAATCATATATCAGCAAACAGCTGCTACTACCATCCTCCCAATATCATTTTTTTCTTTAGCACTTAGCTTCTAAGTACCATACTGGCAGATCTGACCACCAGCTATCCTAATAAGTACATTTTTTAGTGCAGACTTACCTTCAAATTTAGTTTTAAATTCTAGAAAGTCAAAGAAGTTTGTGACTTTACATCATAGGAGTACTCAAAATTGATCGGTCTGAATGTTCTTGCAATAATTTACTGCACAGGAAAAGGATGCTATGAGACCTTCGGATTCTATTCCTCAATAAATTGATCAATGTTTTCAATCAAAACTGGAATAGAGTACAGGCACACACATATACGGAATACCCACTAAAGTCTGATACCACCAGTTTAACTGCCAAACAGCTGTGGCTATAGTTAGAAAAGTGAAGTCCAGGTATAGCAAAGTGGTTATGCGCTACTAGATGAGATAGCTCTCAGTGCCACTTGGTAGAAAACAGGGAAGTTAGAATCCCTATCTCAAAAACAATACGAGATAGTGAAATACAAAGTAGTAGAGCATAATCGATTTAGTACGAAAGGACACCTCGTGGACATGAATGTCAAGAATAGAATGTTTTAAACATGCATTTGTTTGTTCACAATTTCCTACACTGTGACGTCACAAAATGATCTTAGAAAGAAAGAAACAACTAGTTATCACAAGCTACATTTATTTTTGACAATTTAAACATCTCTCCATCAACTGAAATGCACATTGGGACCCTTGTTAGAACTTCATGTTGCATGTTGTAGCATAGGTGGTCATACGGTTGCACAAGGATCTATAACAGGTCATTCAAGGTCCTGCAATGTTTGTGGAGGGTTCGCATACACCTTGTGTTTGAGGTATCTGCACAAATAAAAGTCCATTGGAGTCAAGTCAGGGAATGTGAAGGCCACTCTTCGAAACCACCACACCTGATTACTCATTCTCCTAATTCCTCCATCAAGTACTGCCTCACTTGAGAAGTCATGTTGGAACCATTCACTCCGGAGTTGAAGCAATGGTAGGTTCTCAACAAAATCGTGTATTACGTCTTGCAGAAGTTCTAAATATTATGCGGTTGTTAACAGACCCTGGTAAAATATTGAGCTGATTAGCCTGTTATTATAAATTCCACACCAAATACTAATCGAAAACCGTATTTGATGTCAAATGTCAGCAGAACATGTTTTTCCAGTGCCCAGTAATATGTGTTCTGCCTATTGTACATTTCATTCTGTGGAAAACATGTCTCATGCATCCATACTATACCTGCCAAGAATGTTGGCTGGACTTCTATCTGGTTCATGATAAAGTTGTACCATGTGAAGGTACAATTAGGTATTGGTTGGTATGGATGAGCATCTAATTCATTTAGGATTTTCCTAAAGCGACTTTTTTGAGAGGCCACAGTTTTCACTCATCTCTCTTGTGCTGCTATTTGGATGTGTGAGGCCATATGAGAGACATCTTCAAGTTGCACTTTCCGCCCTACTTTAGCTGGTCTGCCAGATCGAAGTCAGCTGTTCACGCAGCCTATCTGCCCTAAATGTTTCACAACCTGTATGATGGTTTTGTATGAAGGATTCAGGCCTACAGGAAGACGTTGCCGAGCCAACCACGCTGCCAATCGTGCCTTGCGCTCATATTCACCGTAAGTAGAACCATGTCATAATTATAATTTTTTGAAAATTGCTCCATGACCATAAGTTGCAGCATACAACCACGAGGAGATGTGTCTTTTATAGCTGTCTCAGGTGAACAGGTGTGACGTTTCATACACTATTTGCATAATGCATAAATTCACACAATAAGCTCAAGCTGTGTTGAGTCGATGCGTTTTGCGACATAATTGTGCACGATCTGTATGTTGCTTACTTTGTGGTTCTAGGAAAAAAACCCACAAGAAAAATGCTCACAGAATAATACCCACAGGTATAAATGCTCACAGGAAAAAAGTCTACACATAAATATGCCCACAGAGAAAAAAGCTCACATGGAAAAATGCTCACTTAGAAATATGGTGACACAGAAAAAAGCTCACATTGAAATAAGCCCACTGATAAATAAATATGTAGAAATATCCTTATATTAATCAATCAATAATTAATTGATTTGAACATCGTACACATACCTAATTTTTTAAAGAAAAATTGTTTGATCATTAAGAAAAAAATTATTGAACAAATGCTCACATAAACACTTTCAGAGGAGGTATATAAAAGATTGAAAACTATAGTAAAATTTTGCATGTACTTATTAAAATTATAATAATTTATCACTGTATATTCTGTTTTATTTTTCTTCCTTCTTTCTCTCCTTTTCCTAATTTAATACAACCCATTTACTAATCTTATATAGCAACTGAATCTACACATAATTTATACAGTTATATATATATATATATATCATATAATTTAAAATAATTTTTCTTTGAACAATTGAAGTAGGTTCATGATGTTCAAATCGATTAATTATTTATTGATTAATCTAAGAATATTTTCTACATCTTTATTTCTCAGTGGACTTATTTCCATGCGAGCATATATCTATGTGAGCTTTTTTCCATGTGAGCATATTTCTAAGTGAGCATTTTTTCATGTGAGCTTTTTTCTAAGTGGGCATATTTCTGTGTGGGCTTTTTTCCTGTGAGCATTTATACCTGTCAGCATTATTCTGTGAGCATTTTTCTGGTCACCCTACTTTGTATGTAAAGACAATCAGTACAAGGATGCACCCCATGGGGTTTGAACCAAAGTCCTCTGAACTGTGAATTACAAGCAACATCCCTGAGTCATAATATGGGCATGTTTTTCATCCAAAAGATAATCTTTTCTCCTTTCTTTCAAGTTTCATGATGTCATAGTTTCAAAAATCACAAAGAAACACATGTGCATTTTCAGCATTCTGTTTTTAGCATTCATAATAAATCGAAAATGCTCTACAACTTTGTAATTCACTTTTTCTTCCTATCTCGTATTGTTTTCGAGATAGGGAGGCTAACTCTGTCGTTTTTCACCAGTGGTGCTGTAAGCTATCTCATCAAGTAGCGCATAGACACTTCATTATACATAGACACCCATTTTATGAATATAGCTGCAGCCATTCGACAGTTAGTTGGCAGGTGGTACCGGACTTTAGTGGGCACCCTGTATAAGTGCAAGATAAAAATATGTAAATCAAGTGCAAGATAAAAATATGTAAATTAAAATTATAATGCACTCATGATCATGTGTAATGAAAAATATGGTTTAAATAATTAGTTCATGTTCAGCAATAAAGATTATCTTCAGTTCGGCTAC